AGAGAGAGAGAGAGAGAGAGAGAGAGCCGTCCGATATCTATGGACGCGAAGGATATGCAATTGATACTTCGTCGCATATGACAAATAAATGGTTTCTTTGTAATTATGCCTAGTAAAGAGTCGGGCGCGGTTGCAATACGAGTTCACTTACGGTTATGGAAATATGGAAATATGGAATATGGAAAAATATGTATATACATGTTTGTTCGACGACCATCAACCATCACCAACGCTATCAACGCGAACGAGATGAAGTCGAACAATTGCATAACGGCGATGAGAGGAAATACATATGGAAAGAAGAATTTTTTATTCTTTTCTCCTTCGAAAAATACGAATAGAAATTGTGGATAAATATATATATATACGAATGAGAAGCAGCGAAGGGCAGTCGAGAAGAAAAAGAAACTGAGATCATCTGGGTTTGTGGTGAGCAAGTTCTAAATTAAATACACGGAATGCATATAGAAGATTGGACGCGTACAATCAGGCTGGAGTCCATCAAATTCAATCAAAGATATATATATATATATGTATACATGGAAAGATAGCTCCACCCTGGCGCGCTCGCGCGGGACGAAATGTTGTGTCAAAGTGTGGCTGGGATCGAGAGGGATGTCATGAATAATACAAGGCAGTGGGTCAGTCGACGGTGGAAAAACCATCGATTTGCAAGTCAAACGAACTCGAGTGTCTTACTTAGTTAAATGAAAAAAAAATGAAGGGAAAGAAAATGAAAATTGATTACATATATATTCGTTTCGAATTGTTTAAGCCGCCGCTCGAGACAGTGATGAAAACAAGAATTAGACGAACGAATTAAAAACGCTCGATAAAATAATTTCCACACTAATTTTTAATCGACGTAGAGATTAATCGCACTCGATCTTTTAAGAAAAAGAAAATTGATTATACGTATTCGTATTTCGAATCGTTTAAGTCGTTCGGGACAGCGATGACAACACGAACGAGATGGACGAATTAAAAACGCTCGATCGATAAAAAAAATTTCTACACGATACGATTAAATCGCAATCGATTTCTTTTACAGAATTAAGTTTTTTTCGAATTTTTTCGTTTTTTTCCAAACTTACTTACCAAAAGAAATGATAAAACAGACGAGTACGGGAAGAGAAGTAGACATCGCTTTTCCTCGGCGAGGTTCTTTCACATATTGACGATATACACTATCTCACACGCATTTCGCAATCGTTTCACGCCGTGTCACGCATCCTTCACCACCCTAACTTCACCACTTTCTCGATCGGGGCGGCATTTCGCGCGATCAATCGCAATCCCTCGCACTTCACCACTTCTATCTATCACTTTGCTACAACACCTTCATGACATACACTCGTGCTCTTTCCACTCTTCGCCTCCACCTCCTTCCTCTTTCCTTCAGAAAAGGAAGAGGAGAAAAAAAAACAGCAACAAACAACTCGCGCTCGAGCTCGATGTTTTATTCACTCGATGAAAATATTCAGCGGAAAATGTATAACGTAACGTAACGTAACGTAACAACGTACAAACCCCCGATTGTAGACGCGAGAAACCCCGCTAATGAATGTAATTAACGACGTGGGACGAAGGGAGGGAAGGCGGGGGAGGGGGGGAGAGAGAGGGGTTATTTCGTGGACGGGTGGCGGTACGGCGTCAGTTTGCACTCTGGCCTAAGATCGAAGAGAAATAGAGAGAAAGGGGGAAGGGAGGAGAAAGAGAGAGAGAGAGAAAGACAGAGAGAGGTCGGTTGGTCGACGCTTTTATGCCTCTCGCCGCATTCACCGCCGCAAAGTCGTTCGCAATGCATTAGGCGGCGAACTCGTTAAAGTAATTTCCCCGACAACCTAGACGTTCCATCGATCATTCCTTCTCCTTCTCCAGCGCATCCTTTCCTCGAATCTTGCCTATATATATATATATGTATGTATGTATATGTATATTCCCTTCCTTTCGATCGAAAACTCAATTATCCTGTTTGTCGCGCAACGTACACATTTCCTTCCTTCCTCTTCGATGTTCCTCTTTCTTTCCTCCTCGTGTGTCAAATCGTGATAATGTGAGCGAAAAGATCTTTTTTATCACCGGAAACAAGATGCTCTTCAACATCGACGCGCCATCGGATCCCCACTGTCTGGATTTCCTCGCGCAACAAGCTTTGTGAATTTTTCTCTATGAAAGACGATTTCTTTTTGTCAAACGACGTGAAATAATTTGCCGATTTAATTTCGTGTATATGGGAAACAACGTTGATTTCCAGACAAAATTCGATTGAGATTCAGCCTCGGCGAACGATGATCCGATACGTCGGCCAGTTCCCCGAGAAAATCACACGAAAGATTCGCGGCCGACTACTACGCATCCTCTCTAGATCGGTGGACTTTCTGGATTCTATCTCCCTCTCTCTCTTATCCACTCGCGCGTGCACTCCCGTCGAAAATCGATCTCGTGGATCGATCTCGGATCTCCGTATCTCGAAGGGGAAGGGTTCTTTGAAAAATGGTTGGAACCGCGTTTTTACGCGAGTGTCCTCGTCGTCAATGTTCCATCCATGTCCCGTCCCAGGTTCACCGAATCACGATTCACCCAGTGTTACGTCACTGCAACACATCTCTCGTTCGAGGCTGTTCGATCTTCTCGTATTGACCACGCATCACTGATCCTCTTCTCGCTACCTCGCCCTTTCACAAATCTCCCCTTCTTCTTTGTGCACAATTTTTAAAAATAACTTGTAGAAGGAGAAGGAAGGAGAAAGAGGAGGACAAAGAATCCACACAGTCCACGCGATCACGACGGTCGGAATAACGCCTCCTCCTGAACAGAGAACGACGGAAGAGAGAGGGAGAAAACGGAGAAGCGGCAGTGGCGTTTGACGTTTTGACGGAACGCGCGCGACGGAGGAGAAGGTCGCGGCTGTTTCGAAACGACGATGCTCCCGCGTCAAGGATAGCCGAGGGACTACATTGCGCGAGCGCCGCTCGAGCCTCGAGCACGCAGCCGCCCCGTGCATCCTCCTCTCTACTCCGTAACCGTCACTCCAACACTTTTGCGCAACCCCGTGTCCG